CCCAGCACCACCCACATAGCAGCTAACAACTGTCTGTAACTCCAGTTCCAGGGGCTCTGACAGCCTCTTCTGTCCTCGTGGGCATTGCACGACACGGGTACACTTACCTACATGCAGGCAATACACTCATACACATAAAACAAAAATAATAAATAAAATTTGTTTTAAAAAAATCATTAAAAAAAGCTGGAGAGATGGCTCCCTGGGTAAGAGCATTGATTGGCTGCTCTCACAGAGGACTCAGGTTCAGTTCCCAGCATCCATATCGTAGCTAAAAACTGTCCATAACTCCAGTTCCAGGAAACCTGACACCCTCTTCTGACCTCCATGGGCACTGAACTACATGGGTGCACAATACCCACATGCAGGCAATACATTCATACACATAAAATAAAAATAATACAGTATTTTTTAAAATAAAAATTTTTTAAATGTTTCAAAGCTGGGTGTGGTGACACATCTTTAATCCTAACACTTGGAGCCAGGTATGGTGACCAACACCATTAGTCCCAGCAGAGTCCAAAGCCACCCTGGTCACACAGTGAGTTCCAGGCCAGCTGGGGCTTCAGGGAGACACTGTCTCAAAAAAGACCAAAAAAAACCCCAAAATCCTAGCACTTGGAAGTCAAAGGTATCTCTTTAAGATGAAGATCAGCATGGTCCACATAGTTCCAGGCCAGCTGGGACTACAGGGAGACCCTGTCTCAAAAAGAAAAAAAAAAAAAAACCCAAACAAAAAAAGTGGAGCAGTGGTAGGTAGGCAAGTCTGTGAGCATAAAGGCAGAAGCCAGCACAATTTAGACTAAGCACAGGGGCCAAGTGCTGAGTTGTGTTTAGACACTGACTCAGTGACTAAAGAGTGTGCAAAAGGGGGCTGGAGAGATGGCTCAGTGGTTAAGAACACTGGCTGTTCTTGCAGAAGACCCAGGTTCGAATCCCAGCACCCACATGGCAGCTAACAACTGTCCGTAACTCCAGTTCCAGGGGATCTGACAGCCTCTTCTGTCCTCCACAGGCATTGTAGGACATGGGTGCACTTATATGTACAAGCATGCAATACACGCATACATATAAAATAAAAATAATAAATATTTTTAAAAGTTTGCAAAAGCCAGGCACCATGGCACGTGCCTTTAATCCCAGCGCTCAGGAGGCAGAGAGAGATAGATCTCTCTGAGATTGAGGTCAGCCTGGTCTACATTGTGAGTTTCAGGGCAGCTGAGGCTACAGGGAGACCCTGTCTCAAAAAGACCAAAAATAAAAAAAATAAAAAAATCTGCAGAAGAGCCTCACATATGCGCCTGGTGGGCAAGGGTGCTCCTGAGCTGCCTATTCACCCACAACACCGTGCTTTCAGTGGTCTCCTATTTCCCTCTTCCATGGTACCACTGGCTTTAGAAAACCCAGAGCAGTCATTCCCTGGTTAAAACCCTTCATGTCAGCCAGAGGTGGTAGTACATGCGTATAGTCCCAGCACTTGGGAGGCAGAGGCAGGAGGATCTCTGTGAGTTCATGGCCAGCCTGGTCTACATAGTCAGTTCCAGGACAGCTGGGGCTACAGAGAGACCCTGCTTCAAAAAGACAAAAAAAAAAAAAAAAAAAAAAAAAAAAAAAAAACCCACCCTGTCAGCTGGGCAGATAGTACACAGAAATACTCCAAGCACTCTGGTGGCTGAGGCAGCAGGATCACAAGTCTGAGGTAAGCCTAGGCAACACAGTGAGACTTGTCTCAAAAAGGACAAAAAAAAAAAACAACAACAACAAAAAAACCCTCAAAACCCCTCACCTCTGGTACCAGCAACATAGCATGGCATCCAGAGCCCACCATCAGCCTAGGACTGGTCCCTCCCACCATGCCTCCCCTGCCTTAATACCCCTGTGCCAACCATAATCAGCCCATCTTACAATGATTTGTTTGCCTGTCTGTCTTCCCCAGGTCCAACTCTAGAGAAGAGTAATATGTGGTGTAAACTCAAGCTCTGCCACTATTTTCGAGTGCCACCTTGGGGAGAGTTAATCACTGTCCAAGGTCACATGGAGACTGCAGACTTTCTGACCAAGTCCAGTTCCCCCTCACTGACCTGCTAGGGTCCCTGCTCAGCCAGGCTCCAAGGAGCTGATTACTCCTTCTAAGACTGAGCCACTTCCTCCTAAACGAGGCCCTTCTAGTGATCAGGCTATGGTGACAGTGGCTCTCAGTCCCAGTGGGCAAGAGCAGGGCTGGGGTTCGACTGACAGCTCAAGGTCAACAGGCCAAGCAAAAAGAACAGAGACACAGGTCCCCTAGGTAAACTGAACTTTATTCCTTCCTCACTTCTCTAAATCTCCAGAACTGCCCAGCTAGCTGCTGATTAAAAGGTACCTCTTGGTTCTCCTTTGAGAAGACCACACCCATGTGTGTCTTACAATTTCTTCCTAAACACTTATCTCTCCCTCTTAACTCTAGTGCTTAAAAATCTACATTAAAATTTCTTGGGCCAATGAGATGGTTCGGTATATAAAGGTGCTTGTAGCCAAGCCTAATGATCTGAGTTTGATCCCCTGGACCCACGTGGTAGGAGGTTAAAATCAACTCTTCAAAACTTGTCCTCCGACCTCCACAACACCTGCCCACACACATAATTAAATACACAAAGATAATTAAATAAATAAATGTAATAAAATCTTTTACACTCCAACTCTGCTTAAAAGGGGGGATTCCCTCTTACCCCTATTCCACCCCCTCAGGTCTGACCTTGACAGATAATAAGGACGCACACGCACAGGAAGACAGCAGCACAGCATTCCCTACAGCTCAATAATGCAAGACCCTGTTGCTCTCAGTCCACAACAGCTGACTTCAAGTGGATCAGAGGCTGTGCTTATTAACAAAATGAGAAATCTGATCTATGGAAAGAAAACACTTCGTGAGGATTAAATCTAGGACTGCAGCTTGTGGAAGAGACTGGGCTGATGGCCAAGACCAGGGAGTGAGGAAGGGATCCTGCCTACCTGTCCCCAGAGCAGGTACTAGGCAGCAAGATGGGACACACTGCCTCTGCCCCACCTGTACCTCTCCTTTCTCTTTCCAGCAATTACAGCAAATCATTTTGGTTCTGCTTTAATTAAAGGCCAGGATCCCTCGGGGTGCTTCCTCCTCTACCCAGAGCCAGAAACCAGAGAAGATTTTTCTTTTCAGGAATCGCTTTTCATAAAAGCTCGGTGACTAATCTACAAGTCCCAACAACTGGCAGGAAAACACTGCAGGAAGAAATTCTGGGCACACAGCTGCACTCAAACAGCCAGGAAGCTAGGCAATACCCACTCTGCAACACCATACAAGTGACCTGCAGAAAGGCAGGGGGCAAAAGAAAGCAGATCTACCTGGAAGCTCCGAGACTCTCTCTCTCTCTTCAAGAAGATAGGCAAATGCGGGCAACTCCTCATCTTTTCCAAGATTGCCCTGTAGATCTCAGATTTTCATAAAAATCTCGTTTGCACAGGACAGAAGGCTCACCTGGTAAGCAAGATGACTTATTCCTTGGAAAAACCCTGGGTCAAAGGGCTCACTCAGTTCAGCCCCTCATATCACACCCTCACCCGCCTCCTTGGGGCTAAGTAGAGGGCTCGCCACACATCTCTGTCTCTAGAGGCCAGCCTCAGGCTGATCCATCTGCTTTTTCCAGACTACTCCACCCAGCATACTTTTTTCTCCTTGAGCCAGAGGGCTAGAGTAGCATGGCCTATGCTCCTAAAAATGTCTGCTTGAAAGCCAAGGAGTTCAGACGTAGGCAGATGAGATTGGAAAAGCAGTAAAGCCAGGAGGTATCAGAGGCAATAAATGCTACCTCCCACTACGGTTTGTGTCCATCCAGAGTCCCAGATAGGTAGTCCCAAGTTCAGCCTAGGTAGGGGCTGCACCCCTCCATTACCTGCCAGCTCAACCCCTCCCTAGGGGCAAGAGACACAGCAATCCTCAGTCAACAACCCACAGCCACAGGATTCCTATAGGCAAGGATCTGCCCCTCCCCCACTACCACATATGTCAGTGGGGGTGGCCTCTCTGGGTTACACCCCTCCTGCTGTTCGAGGGTGAGGGGCCTAGAACACAGCTTTCCAAATGCGTCTGACAATTCTAACTAGAAAAGACACTGGGGGGGGGGGGGCGTGTAGAAGACATGGGTAAATAACATCCAAACCTCTCCAGTCTGTCAGGATCAGCACTGGACTCGTCTCCAGGCAGTCCAAAACAGTTCTGGGTAGGGCAGCTGGGCGCATTATCTAACTTCAATCCCTCCAGTCCGTAAGTCACTGCCCCCCAGGGAGAGGCATTTTCCCCCAACATATACACACCCAGATCTGTGTGCATATGAACCATTTTAGAAGATAAACAGAGTGACAAGCTGGGGCCCCTTAGCTCCTTCCCTGAACCAGCCTGTCCCTTCCTCCTGCCACCCGACCCCCTCCCCCCAAGCCCATCTCTCTTCCTGCCAGGCGGCTGCCTACAGCAAAGGTCTGGGGGCAGGGCAGAGAGCCCACCCAGCCACACAGCCCGGCTCTCCAAACCCGACCCTGTCCGAGCGACGCCGGTCTCCGGGAAAAGGACCGCAGAACGCACACGAGCGCAGTTCTGGAAATCGTAAAATCCTCCGGCGAGGGGCAGCCGTGGGCGCATAGCCGTTTGCATAATGGGAGTCCGCCCGCCTGTCAGGCAGCGCAACTCGCCCGACGCCGTTCGGATTAGATTGCTAATGAAAAGGCACAAAGAGCCGGCGCCCGCTACCCCGTCGACCCCCGCTCCGCAGACTCGCGCCCCTGGCCTGCTTCGGCCCCGGGGGCTTTGTGCCCAGAGTCCCATGCTGCCCACAAAGCCTGAGCCCGCCGGGGGTCCGGCGTGCGCCCCCGCCCGAGACCAGTGCATGCGCGCGCGCTTCCTCCCACGCGCGCCTACGCCCCCCTCTCCGGGGCGCGCCCGGCCCGCGCCCCCGCCCGCGCCCCCCTCAGTCCCTGGCGAAGCTCACCTCATGTGCGTGGGCGGCGGCTCTCCGCCCTC